CCCGCGCGCCCAGCCGCCCCAGCCGCCGGCGGCCAGCGTGTCCCCGTGTCCCCGCAGCACCTTCATCATCGAGAAGCAGCCCCCGCAGGTGCTGAAGACGCAGACCAAGTTCGCGGCCACCGTGCGGCTGCTGGTGGGCGGGAAGCTGAACGTGCACATGAACCCGCCGCAGGTGAAGGCCACCATCATCAGCGAGCAGCAGGCCAAGGCCCTGCTCAAGAACGAGAACACCCGCAAGTAGGTCGCTGTGCGCGACCCGGGGAGCTGCCCTGTGTCTGCCCCTCGCTGGCCTGCTCTTGGGTCTGCGCCGGCCTCATGCCCGTCCCCTGCCCCGCCCCCTCTCGCATGGACTAAGCCCCTCGCCCAGCCCAGTGCTTGCGTCCACGTAGTCGGTCAGCAAAGGCATCGGTCACTTTCTGTCTCTGAGACAAAAACCAGCGCTCACAATGCCACAGAGCAGAGGCTGACGTCAGCTCAGGGTTCTGCAGGGTGCAGTCTGAGGCCGCCATGCCGTGAGTCCACGGGGACAGGGCTGGGCAGGACAGCCGCTTGCTCTCTGGCCTTGGGGCGGCAGGGGCACAGCGGCAGAGAGGACGGAGCTAGAGGCCTCCGCGGCCCAGCCGGACCCCAGCTGCTGGAGGAGCCTCCTCGGTGTTTCTTGATCCAGCGTTGGACCAGCGGGCACAGCGGGGTGGCACCACCCATGGACCCTCGCGGCGCCGGGCAGCCGGGAACACAGCTGTGACTCAGCGGTGCTCAGCGCTGTCCTCCCGCTTGTCCAGGAGCAGAGTGGCTGCAGGCACAGCGGGTGCAGGCGCAGCTGTGACCAGGGCCTCGGCGGGGGTGCGGGCGGCAGGGCCCGACCGCTGGGCACAGGTTCACAGCGGGCCCGGAGCAGATAGCCGGAGCCCGGGAGGGGACTGTTCCAGGCAGGGACCCGGCCAGGTCCTGGGGAAGTCTGGAGAGGAGGCGCGTGTGGAGGCCCTGGGGTCGATCCCCGGTGCTTAAAAAGTAGTACTCAAAAGTGATCAATGGGAGGTGAAATTATACCAGTGATGTCACAGCTGGGCTGCGTGTTGGGGGCAGCTGTGTGCACCCAGTGTCGCAGCTGCGTGGCCCACGTGTCTGGAAGGAGGGGAGGCACTGCGTAGGCCAGGGAGAGGCCAGGGAAGACCTGGTCCTGGATGCGCTTCCTTCCTCCTTCCTCCTTTCTCCTTCCTTCTTCCTTCTTCCTCCTTCCTTCCTTCCTTCCTCCCTCCCTTCCTCCTTCCTTCCATCCTTCCTTCCTTCCTTTCTTCTTTCCTTCCTGCTTTCCTCCATTCCTTCCATCCATCTTTCCATCCTTCCTTTCTTCCTTCCTTCCTTCCTTTCTTCCTTCCTTCCTTCCATCCTTCCATCCTTCCATCCTTCCTCCCTTCATTCCTTCCTTCCTTTCTTCCTTCCTTCCTCCCTTCTTTCCTTCCTTCCTTCCTTCCTTCTTTCCTTTCTTTCTCCAAGGTGCTGGGGACAGAGCCCAGGGCCTCGTGCATGCTGGGCAAATGCTCTGAGCCACCCCTTGCCCCAGCCCTTGTTAAATTTTAGGTCTCACTAAGTATTAGTCCCAAGCTGGCCTTGAACTTGTAACCCTCCTGCCTCAGCCTCCTGAGTAGCTGTGATTACAGGCATGCACCCCCACACCGGGCCTCAGCTCACGTTTTTATTTTATGGCCCTGGAAGCTCCAGAGGTGGCAAAGGCTTCATCCCCGATCAGTGACCCCCAACCCCTGTATAGAGACACATTCCTGCCCTTGGGCACCTTCAGGGCGGGGGTGTGGAGCACATGCTCACCCAGGGCACCCAGGCAACACCCTGGGCACAGGGGCTGCTGCAGGGCTGCCCCCGGGCGTCCGGAGCCCCTGACTGGGCCGCCCTCCTGTTGCAGCGAGTGCAGCGGCGAGATCCTGAACAACTGCTGCGTCATGGAGTACCACCAGGCCTCCGGCACGCTCAGCGCCCACTTCCGAAACATGGTGAGGGCCGCCGGGCGGGCGGGAGGGCCCAGGCCAGCCGGGGGTGCGGCCGTGTCCCCAGCACCAAGTCCCCTGTCCTCCCCACAGTCACTGAAGAGGATCAAGAGGGCCGACCGGCGGGGTGCCGAGTCGGTGACGGAGGAGAAGTTCACGGTGCTGTTCGAGTCGCAGTTCAGCGTGGGCGGCAACGAGCTTGTGTTCCAGGTCAAGGTGAGGCCCGGCCAGGCCCGCGGCCGCCTGCTGGCTGAGAAGGGCAGGGACAGGTTGCCCTTCGTCCTCGGGGTGCAGGCAGGGGGAGGAGCAGGGCCGGGGGCTCCGTGGCCGGCCTGGCCCTCAGTCCTTCGTTCGGCTTCCACAGACCCTGTCCCTCCCCGTGGTTGTCATCGTCCACGGCAGCCAGGACCACAACGCCACGGCCACCGTGCTGTGGGACAATGCCTTTGCCGAGCCGGTAAGTCCCCGCTCCCGTGCGGCCCTGGGGCTCTCGGTCCCGGTGTGAGGGCAGCTGACGTCCCTCTCCCCGTCCTTAGCCCCTGGGCTGGGTCTGCACCCCCAAGCACACACCTGTCCCTGCCTTTGTCCCCCAGTCTCTGCCCCCTTGTGGTCGGCTCTCCGGCCTCACGGCCCCTTGTCTCACACGTGTGTGCGCACGCTCACGCCCAGCTCCCTCAGCCGCCCCCTGTCCCGTCCCTGTGCCCCCACAGGGCAGGGTGCCGTTCGCCGTGCCTGACAAAGTGCCGTGGCCCCAGCTCTGCGAGGCGCTCAACATGAAGTTCAAGGCCGAGGTGCAGAGCGCCCGGGGCCTGACCAAGGAGAACCTGGTGTTCCTGGCGCAGAAGCTGTTCAGCAGCGGCAGCGGCCACCTGGAGGACTACAGCGGCATGTCCGTGTCCTGGTCGCAGTTCAACAGGGTGAGGGCCGCCGCCCTGGGGCTGGTGTCACAGCCTCTGTCTCTAATGGGGGGACAGAGAGGGCCGGACCTAAGACGCACAGCAGGGGCAGCCGTGCCAACCAGGGCAGGACGACGGAAGGGACCTGGGGCTGGAACTAATTTCTAATTTGTGGGCCCCCTCTGCTTCAGTGTCCCCCACCCTTCCAATGAAGGGGTGAGGCAGAAGTGACCTTCGAGGTCCAGCCAACCTGGCTCAGTCTTCATAGCTCCCACTCCCAAGCTGGGCGAGGTGGTGAACACCAGTAATCCCAGCCACGTAGGAGGCTGAGGCAGGAGGGTCATGCATTCACAGCCAGCCTGGGCAACTTAATGAGACCTTCTTTCAAAACAGCAAACAGCCCAGGAATGGCCCTGGACCCAGGTCTTAGATGTGTGAGGCGGGCTCACCGCTTGTCCCTAGGACGCCTGATGGGGACCTCGGAAAGGGGCCAGTGAGGCAGCAGGCGCTGGGAGCAGGCCGTGACTCAGTTTCCCCACACCCTCAGGAGAACCTGCCGGGCTGGAACTACACCTTCTGGCAGTGGTTCGACGGGGTCATGGAGGTGCTCAAGAGGCACCACAAGCCCCACTGGAACGACGGGTGAGGCCCGGGCCGTGATGGGGCTTGGGGCCTGGAGGCCGAGGCCCGCGGTGACCCAAGCGCCCCTCCCCCAGCGCCATCCTGGGCTTCGTGAACAAGCAGCAGGCGCACGACCTGCTCATCAACAAGCCCGACGGCACCTTCCTGCTGCGCTTCAGCGACTCGGAGATCGGCGGCATCACCATCGCCTGGAAGTTCGACTCTCGTGAGCCGCCAAGCGTGCCGGCCCCCAGGGTCCCGCCCCCCAGGGTCCCGCCCCCCAGGGTCCCGCCCCCCAGGGTCCCGCCCCCCAGGGTCCCGCCTCCGTGTCGCAGTCCCGCTCTCCGCTGGGCCTAAGCCTAAGCCCAAGCCTCACCCTCGCAGCCGACCGCAACCTGTGGAACCTCAAGCCCTTCACCACGCGGGACTTCTCCATCCGCTCGCTGGCCGACCGCCTGGGCGACCTGAGCTACCTGGTGTACGTGTTCCCCGACCGGCCCAAGGACGAGGTCTTCTCCAAGTACTACACGCCCGTGCTCGGTGCGTCCCTGCGCCGCCATGGCGGACCCTGCGGTCCCCGGGATGGTGGGGGGTTCCAGGGCTCCCTGCCCCGGAGCGAGGAGAAGTCGGCCCTGGTGTCTGCGCTGCTGGGCTTCAGGAGAGCTGCTCACCTCTGCAGCGGGCGGCCGGGATCACTCCCAGCCACAGACGCAGCCGGGCTCCCCCGGCACCCGCATGTTGAGAGTGGAGGGAAATGCAGGGTGTGGTGGTGTACTCCTGTCATCCCAGCGTGCAGGAGGCTGAGGCAGGATTCCCCACGAGGTCCCAGTCAGCGTGGGCTACATCGCAAGACCCTGGTTAAAAAAGAAAAAAAAGAAAGAGTAGGAAGAGGACAGGTGTCTTCCCCTCAGCCTGTCCTCGGGCTGTGGGGAAGGGTCTGCAGACACCTGTGGACACTGTTTCCTCGGGGGTGTGGGGGCAGGGAGAGGGTTGGGCCTAAAGCCAGGGTCTTGGTGAGGGTGGTGCTGGGCCATTGGCATCAGCAGGGTACACGGTGTTGTTGGGGAATCTCACCTAGGCCCCCTGGGGTGACATGGGCAGGGGCTGGCACCGTGGGTGTCCCTAGCCCAGCCCGGGACCGCCAGAGATATGGCACTCATCCCTGCTGTCCTTGCAGCTAAAGCCGTGGACGGCTACGTGAAGCCGCAGATCAAGCAGGTGGTGCCCGAGTAAGTGTCCAGGCCCCACCCGCCAGCCTGTTCCCCCAGCACCCCACCCCGCTGCCCCCCGGCCCCGGACTCTGTGTCCCCAACCCCCACCCAACACCACTGCTCCCTCAGCACCGCCTCAGGAGGGGGCAGGGCTTGGCCATGCTGTGGCCGGTCCCCCAGACCCACTCTGTCCTTCTGCACCCCCAAAGTGCCCCCGAGACCCGGCCCCCCGAAAGCTGAGGCTCCCCGTGTTCTGCTTCCCCTGGCAGGTTCGCGACCGCATCTGCCGACGCCGGGGCCAGCGCCACCTACATGGATCAGGCCCCGTCCCCGGCCGTGTGTCCCCAGGCGCCGTACAGCATGTACCCGCAGAAGTAGGTTGTGTTCTCGGGTGGGCTGGCCTCGGGCTGCACCCCTGCAGGGCCGGCGTGCAGAGAGCGGGGTCAGCCGGACCTGTGTCCCTCCTGCCCAGGGCCACCCCCGTGTCCACGTGGGGTGCAGCAGACGCCTTAACTCAGCATGGGGCCCAGAGCTGCGGCTGAAAGCGTGGCAAATGCCGTGGTGCCCGTGCGGTGCCTGGACGGGCCGCACTGCTTGCAGTGGGCACAGCCCACTCCCCCAAACCCATCATCCCCAGAGGTCAGGCGAGGGCTGTGCTGCCCAGCTCAGGGAGGGGCGCACACCCACCACACCCCTTGCTCTGCCAGCCCCGATCCCGTCCTGGACCAGGAGGGTGAATTCGACCTGGACGAGACCATGGACGTGGCCCGGCACGTGGAGGAGCTGCTGCGCCGGCCCGTGGGCAGCCTGGACTCGCGCCTCTCCCCGCCCGCCAGGCTCTTCTCCCCGGCCAGAGGCTCCCTGTCCTGAGCCCGAGCTCGGGCTTCTCCCGGGCACAGGGCACCACGGGAAGCGGCAGCCACGCCCACGGCGCTGTGCACACTGGCGCCTTTGCCGCCCGCCTGGGCGCTCAGCGGGCTGTGCGCAATGGAGTGTGCGCGCCAGGCGCACCCACCTCCCCTCTGTGCGCCTGGACACGTGGCTGCAGCGCAGTGGCCCCCTTTTTGGAGGCAGAAGCCCCCAGAACCCACAGGCACGGCTGGGAAGAGACCGTCGGCGTGTGCCTGGACCACCACTGGGCAGAGCGCCCCTGCGGTCATTCGCTGGCCCTCGTCGCTGTCCCACTGAGGTCCTCTGCACTGCCCTGGTCTAGGTTCCATGCCGCTCCCTTTACAGGCCGGTTTTTGAGAAAGGAAGAAGTGACTGTTGCCAACATGGGGGTGACAGGGTCCTGAGACGCTCGGGCTGGGACTGTCCCTTCCTGGGACAGCACCAGGGAGCAGCCGCAGCCCGGACCCGGAACCCGGACCAGGGACGGCAGCGCCGCTTCTGCTGTTCTGTGACAGCCGCGGGCCCCGCCCCTCCCCGGCCGAATGACAGCAGCAGCTGCTGCGGGACAGGGGGGCTCGGGCTCTGGCTTCTCTGCAGCCGGGTGGGCGAGGAGTAGGCTTCTGTATGTCCTACACAGACCACACCTGGGTGTGAACGATGTTTTTAATAAAATACTTTTTGCATAAACTGGCTGGCCCGCCTCCTGGCTGCCGACTGGAGGGGCCCGGAGCGGCTCCTTGCCGTGAGGCCTGTGTGGCTTCAGCCCTGAGGGACGTTTCTGTCCCTTCTCAGTGTCACTGCTTGGCGGGGGAGCCAGGGGCTAGGGACGCGCGGGCCCTCGAAAGCAGGGGCAGGGGCAGGCAGCTCCGGCTGCGGCCGTGATGTTGGCCATGCGGGAGCACAGACCAGCAGGTGGCATCATCTGGCTGCCCAGGCAGGAGGCCAGCGCCAGTCTCTCCCGGCTCCAACCCCGCACCCGCACAGGGGCACCCGGGGGTCCACGGGGGACAGGGACGAGGGTTGCGGCCCAGAGCGAGCGCCAGGGGCCCACGCGGGGTAGGAGGGAAGCGAGTCACTCGCAGGCTAATCTCCTGCATCTCCCAGGGGAAGCAGCTGCCTATCTCCGCCCCCACGGCCCTGAGGCGCAGGAGGGGGCGGGAGCTCCTGTGTTTCCACCGCCTGGCCCTGGGCGCAGAGGGCGATAAAGGCCAAACCGGTGGAGGGGGGCGGTGCGTGGGGGTCTGCACCCCAGACCCGGGAGGCTTATCAGACCCCACAGGACACGGAGCGGGGAGCAGAGGCACAGTGACCCCAGCTGCCCCCAGCCCCGTCACCTGGAGGCTGGGGGCCAGCAAAGGACTGGGCAGCGGCACCTGGGAATGACTGAAGCTGCCCCTGCCCGACCCTCCTGGCACTGCACTGCTGGGCCGGTTGGAGGTCAGACACACAAGGAACAAACAGGCTAGCCAGGCTGTCGGATGGTTCCATATAACTTTTATTTTTGGAAATTAAAGTAGATACAGCAATATACAAAAAAAAAAAACCCACAATAATATAAATTTTTACACAAGGAAGTATACAGTGGAATCAGCGCGGTGGCCGGGCAGCAGCTTACAGACCGGGGCAGGGACGCGGTCAGGCCGGGAACGCACACGGCAGGGGAGCCGGCGGGGCCTGCGGTCTGCTCCGCTCAGAGCCCGCGTGCCAGGCCGTCACCTCCCAGCCCTGGCGACCTGGGGCCGGGGGCGTGGGTTCCCTGCTCCACAGGAGCCTGGCCCCTTCGGGTCCTCTTGTTCCCACTTCGGCTCCCGGGGTCACCTCCCCGCCGCTTGGCCTAGAAATCAACACACCGAGAGCAGGGCCAGCCACGCCCTCAGCTCTCCCTGCCCACTGCCAAGCGTCCCAGGCATGGTGACACGCGCTGACCACGGGCACAGGAGGGTGCGCCCGACCCCCAGCTTGGCTAGTGTCTGCGGGCCCTGGGGCGTAGCCCCGAGGTTGCCCCGTGCTGGCGGGAGAGGAAGAGGCCTCTCTGGAAGCCACGAGGAAGCGGGGGCAGAGCCCCAGCGAGTCTGCCATCACCTGCCCAGAGGTGCTGGGGCCTGGATCCTAAAGCACAACCCAGGGCAGGACACGGCCAACAGGCAGCGGGTGGGACTGAGGCCAGGTGAGCCAGGCCGGGAGGCCCCGAGAGGAGCTGGCTCCAGCAGGCAGAGCCGGGGCGAAGCCCTGGGGAGAAGGCGGCTGAGCAGGGTCCCGGGCAGTCAGCCCCGTCGAGCTGCCCTCGTTCAAACCCGAGACTGCGCCCCAGCTTGGATTCAGGGTCCCTAAGGGTCGGCTCTGCAGCGGTCGGTCTCCCGAGTCCCTGGCCGGCCAGCCGTGGACAGCTGGGCGCTGGGCATGGAGTCTTAGGGATGCGGGGAGGGTGCCGCAGAGCAACTTTGCATTTAGAAAGGAACCCGGGGTGGACACTGTGGCTTCTACCTGGACACTGGCCAGCTAACGGGCGAGGCCAGGCGCGGCGGCAGGCGGGAGGGGCCGCTGGCACCAGAGGCACTTGGCGAAGGACAAGCCCAGAGGGGCAGCCAGCAGGGCGGCGCGGGGCGGCGGGGGCACACTCGCTTCTCTGGCCCCTGCCGCGCCCCACAGCCCGGGAGATGACGCGCCTGTCACCCACACCTCGCGCTGCGTCTCTGCTTCGGAAAGTGCCAGATGCTCGGAGATAGCAGGAGGAGGAGATTAAAGAAGATCTGGAACCACAAGGCTGGGAGATGCTCTGGGGGTTCGGCTGCTCGAGGGCGCGGGGGCGAGGTGCCCGGGCTGCCGCCGCCTCCTCACCGCCCTCACATGGGCGAGGTAGCGCACTCCGAGGTCAGCTCCATGTCAAACGTGAGGGTCTCTGAGGAAGGGTGAGAATGCGGTCAGCGCTGGCCCTGCAGCCGGCAGGCTCAGCCCCAGACCCGTAGCGCTCAGCACCCCAGATTCCAAACCGGGCCTGGGCCGCACGCCTGCGATCCCAGCACGCGGGAGGCTGAGGCAGTAGGATCGCCATGAGTTCAAAGCCAGCCTGAGCCACACAGAGACCCAGACTCCCTTGCTCCCTATAAGGCCTCGGTCCCAGGAAGAACTGGGTCTCCCACCCGCCCTGACGGGTCCCAGGGCCCGGTGCGGCAGGAGGAGCTCAGGGTGCCCCGTGCGACAGCCACCTGGCTCCGTGGGGTTGTGAGTGCCTGAGTGTCCCCGGCCCCAACAAAGGTTGGGACATCAAAAGATCACATTTCAAAGACTTTGTGTAAAAAATATATTTTTTCTTACACACTGAGATAAGCGTATATTCTCTCCTGTATTTAATGGGGCCAGTAGGACATTCACCCTTTCACCTTCGCGCTCTGTTCCTATGGCGAGCACAGCTCTAGAGCCCCCTCCTGAGCCGGGCGTGGTGACGCACGCCTGTCATCCCAGCACTCAGGAGGCTGAGGCAGGATCGCCATGAGCTCGAGACCACACTGGGATACAGAGAATTCCAGGCCAGCCTGGACTGCGTAGCACAACCATCTCAAAAAACCACGAACAATAAATAGACCTTGCTCCTCCCATGCAGGGGGCCGCTCTGCGGTCTGCACCCGGAACACTGCGTGCGAGGACAGAGCCCTGCTGGGACCGAGGCCGGCCGTACTCACCAAACTGCCCCCCCGCCGAGGGCTCGGCCCCTTCGCCGTTATTTCCAAACTGCATCAAGGAATCTAGAGTGCGGGGGGACATCGGCAGGTCAATGGTATTGCTGCAGGTCGTTCTGTGGAGACGGGCGCAGGAGGGGCCGGGTTGACAAGACACAGTGGAGGGAGATGCACACGCCCGCACACGCACGCACACGCACGCACACGCCCGCACACGCACGCACACGCACGCCATCGGGCCCTGGGCTAGCAGAAACAGAACGGCTCAGGCTTTTACACACGGGCCACTCCGAGCACCCCACCTGCCACCCAGGGGCCACCCTGCTCCCGGGAGGAGGCTGAGGACACAGTGCAGGCGACAGCGGGAAGGGAAGCCACTTACGGTGTCACGCAGATGAACTTGGTCTTCAGGTATGGGGCGGCACCTGCAAGGAGAGCGCAGGGCTCACTGGTGGGGTGGGGACCTGTGCCCCGCCCCCGGCCACCCTGACCTGCACCACGCAGCGTCCTGGGCACCTGCATTTGTCCTTCCGCACCTTGCCCGCTCCCCGAGCTGCGGACACTGCGGGCGCCCGTTCCCCACTGGGCCTGCGCTCCTCCTTTCTCTCCACCTTGAGGGCCCCCACTCTGGCCCTGCATCCCGCCCAGATGCCACCACGCTGGAGCCCCGAGGAAGACAGTGGACAGCGGACAGCTGAGGGTCTTCCGTCCTGTCCTCCTGTCACACTGTCACAGGAGGGAGAGAGGCACCAGAGAGAAGTGGCCCTGCCTGTGGTTCCAGCACTCTGGGAGGCTGAAGCAGGAAGGTTGCCAAGTTCCAGCCCAACCTGGGCAACTTAGCAACTTGGCAAGACCTTGTCTCAAAATAAAAAATTTTGAAAAAAAAAACTGAGACAGATCTTT